AGATATATTGATGATGTTCTTTCCATTAACAATCCGAACTTTTCTGATTGGGTTCCATTAATATATCCCCCAGAACTAGAAATTAAAGAAACAACAGACACGGCTTCCTCCGCCTCATTTTTAGACTTAAACCTCGAATTTGACATACACAGTCATCTCAGTACCAGAATCTATGACAAACGAGACGATTTTAATTTCAAAATTATCAATTTCCTCCACCTTAGCAATATACCAACTTCACCTGCATATGGGATATACATTTCCCAACTTATTCGGTATGCAAGAGCCTGCAGCTCCTACTCAGACTTTGTAAAACGTCATCAGTATCTGAGCAAAAAGTTGATGAACCAGGGGTATGTCAAAGAACGTCTCGTCCTTTTTCTAAAAAAGTTCATCGGAAGATACCAAGACCTTGTTGATAAATATTCCGTATCAACTTCACAATAATACATGATGGTCTTGAAGTATAGATTCTGCGTACTGACGCTGTTTATCATCTTAATAACGTGTTAAAGTGTTCTTTTATGTGTCTTAATTAATATTACTTTTACTGTTTGGTCTGTTTTTGGTGATAAACATTTGACGTGGCTCTGTACTTATGCATCCCGTCATTGTGTTGTTTGTATTATTTTTCATTTGTACTTGTGTGCTTTGTCCGTGTGACTTTTTATGTTTCTTTGATACATATGACGTGTCTCTGTACTTTAAATATCCTGCCATTGTGTTATTGTTCTATTATGATTTTTGCATACTTTGAACGACAAAATTATTTTATATCTCTGTCTGTATGCCGTTTACATTCTGACGTCAAACACGCGATTCTACGCCAGAGTTAATGTTAAAATTACGATTCGGTCCCAGTGCTTATAATCCCTCGATCCGTTATGGGTTGATTTAGCATACATAAATAAAATACAAGTGAGAGGTTTAGCGCTATAAAACCAGGTTCAATCCACCAATTTCTACATAAGAAAGTGCCTTGACCAAGTCAGGAATATGACTGTTGTTGTCCATTCGTTTGTTGTGTTTGTGCTTTTGATTTTGTATATATTACTTTCCGAAAATTTAATCTAACGAAGACGTTTGTAACTTGCAAAACGACATATAAAATCTACATATGAACGTTCTCAAGCCACCCTTTTAGAATGCGTTAATTAATTTTTAGAAATTTTTTTTTCTTATTGTACATCATTACTTTTTAGCAGAGAAAAACAAGTAATGTCAGTGGCCTTGAGTAATATTTAAAAAAGCGATATCGCTACGTTTACATATTAAACACATTATAGAAATTTATTATTTGAAATACCATTTGAAATATCTGATTGTTTCTGTGATATAACGACGCTAAATTGTTTTCAACACTTCATTGTCAAACACTTTTAGCATTAAAAACTTCTACCAGATCTGATATGTGCGAGAGCATTATTGGGATTCATCCGATTATGAGTTTTATTCACAAAAGAAAACTGTTCTTTTTTCAAAACCTGTGTATGTTAGATACCAATTATCTTTCAAAAAGAATATTTTTGGTTCGACTATTTTCATTCCTCATAGACCCTCACCGCCGTCACTATAGATACATTCCTGATGTTATTGACATTTTAAAAACATATGGAGTTATTCAATATCTTACCGAATATATTGATACTTGGAGTTTTCCATCAAAAAGTCAATGGAAATCGATTGTTCACAAAACAGTTAAAGACCAGCAGTCGGTCAACTGGGAAAACCGTATTGCGTTAGATGACAATTTTAAACGTTTTAAAATATTCACAAGATAGTTTCGATGACCAACTCCTGGAAAAAGCACAATCGTTTGCAGAAATACAAAATTCCTTTTTTATTACAAAACTGTTAACTGATATACCAAATTCATCAGGAAATAAGTGCGTCGCATGCAAAAACTACTTTGATGATGTTTATGTACATGCATGTTGTTCCTGCATTTGTACTACAGAGCTGCGTGAATTGTGGTGGAATATGATTATTGAGAATTTTCACTACTACTGTATTGCAAACTAAGTGAATATGATGATGAGGATGTTTATCAAATTTTACTAGGACTAATTCCATTAAATGTCATTGCCGATCATTCGGAGTTTGAGAAACTTTGCCACGCCCATGTTGTTCAATGCGAAGCAACATATGGACGTTGTGTCAGGTTAAGCAATACATGATATGTCATCATTCAAGATTGCATAAGGACTTTATGCCGAATGACTAAAGTGTATATGTGTCTGTACATGTAAAAAAAAACTTTTTTGTTCTGTTCCTATTTCGTTTATTCTTTTTGTTGTGTGATATTTAGTTAAATTTGTGTATTCATAATATCTCAATTATGAGGAAATAAAGACATGAATGAATGAATGAATAAATGAATGAATGAGTGTTTCTCTCCCTCATGCAAAACTTAGTTTCCTTGTCAGGGTTTTGCTATACCGTTGGTCCTTTTCGGTTATATAACTCTCCAACATTTGTAATAGTTTTAGATGTATAGATATTTTGATGGATGAAACTGGAGGAACAATAGTTGTGTTAATGCGCATCTTGTGCAGTAAAGTACTATTGAATGTCATCTTAAATGTTATGATTCAAATATGACGAATATGTTTAGTCAATAACTTTGTTTCATTATTTGTTTCATTGAAAACTTGTGTTAACTAATTCTTGTTTTGCTTTTCAGTAATGATATGCATTGAAAAAAAATATTGAATAAGCTTTTTAACTATGACTTTTTTCCAAGCTATTTTTGTAAGCAATTCCCCTGGCCATTTTTGCGAACAATTTCAATGTTCTTTAGCAGTTTCAAAACTGTAGCAGTATAAACTAAATTTTGTACGGCTTTAGAGTATAATGGTTATATTAATCATTTGTTTATCTGTATATTTCACAAATGTGTATGGCTGGGAAGTAACACTATTACCACTTTTAATTTTATTTGATATAATAAGTAAGAAGTGCATTGTAAAATGAAATTTATAACTATATGTTTTTTAATATAATTCAGTAGGACAAATAATATATCAACTATATTTCACGCAATGAACCAGCTGTCATCAATAAAGTGTTATTTATACTTTGCTTTTCGGGAATAACAGGCTTATGAACCCTGAATTATTGATACTTTTATTTGTGAATAGTATGAAAGTATAATATGACAAAATTTTAGCATGCAAGCATGTACTTGTGTCAAAAGAAAATTTTGGAGCGACTGCAAGATCGGTCTTTTTGTGAAATGTCATCATTGCATATCTCTGGATACACAATACGCCCAGTATTACCAACATTGTTTTTTTTCGAACATTCAATTATAGAGCGTGTAATATCCATTCTGAGAGGGTTTTTAAACTCTCGCTTTTGCCAATGGATTGTCATTTTGTTACCGATGAATGCGTTGGAATGTACCGTAGTGTCTTCTACCTTTCTATTTCTGTTTTGTGGTCGGATGAAATTGAATTATAATAAGAACAATTTGATTTTAAAGGGTTCATTGAACTAACAGCGTTGGTTTTAAGGATTTGAGAACAATAATCGCTGATTTTCGAACACGAAAAAACGAGGTTCCGTTTTGCCAAAGTAAACAAAAAAAAAACAAAAATAAATAAAAAAAAAAAAAAAATAAAAAAAAAACAAAACAAACAAATAAACACTTTCTGTCCCTTTGTACACATTTTAAGTTGAAAACGAAAACACGACCTTCATCATAGTCGCCTATTAATGTTTATTTTTATATCCTGAATGTTTATGTAACAAGACGTTAAGGAAACATCTTTTTTTGTGTGTGTTTATCTAAATGACAAACACATATAACCGTACATTGCAAACAGCGATTGATTCGCAAAATAACCTTTATTATTCTATTTTGCAGTGTTTGAGTAGCTAAATGTGTTAAAGTACAGAAACATAAGGGACTAAATAGATCCATTAAAGTTCGATAATAAAATATATCAGATGCTTCAGCTCTTGAAACTGTTGTGTTTATTTCATATATATTGAATCAACGTATGAACCGTTAACACTACAATGTGCGTCATAATAATCCGTATACATTTTCATGAAATATCCTGTAATAGTTCTTACCATTTTTTCTAATTCTTCATCACTATACACATGACATTATATTATCTTGAGATATGTAAGAGATAAATCATTTACATAAATGGCAACTTTTTTATAAATTCGAAATTGAACGATATAATTCCACTCAAAGAATACGAAGACATAAGACTTCGATAAAGCAAAATATCGTTCATATTTTAAGCGAAATATTTAAAGAAAAAAAAGTTCAACAAAATGTATGGATATAAAGACACATCCCCGTTTGCCTTACATAACATTACGACAGTACATTAATAAAAAAAATTAAATTGCCTGACATTATGACATGCACATTCATAATAATAATATAACTTTGTTACACCTTCATTAAAGTGTTATTTGTTTCTGTCAAGAGTTCTAAAGGTATTGTTTTTTTTTGTCTGCATAGGCATGAGAGACGGCTGCAAAATCAGCATAACCTACTACCAGACTTGTTTGCATTGGAACTAAACAATTGAACATGACTTATCTAGGATTATCTACCGTTAACTAGCAAGATATGTACGGGAATCATTAAAATGTAGGATATGCTCTATCGTTGATTAAAATGAATTATATGGGATGAACGTCTTAAATGTACGACAAAGATTGTCAATTAGAAGGGTCTGATAAAGCAATTCAGGTCTAGGTATGGAGATATCTACCAACCTATTAGACAAGGAGGCTATGACTAACCAAAGGTGCAAACCATTAGGTACTTTGACAATGTTTGAAAAGGTCATGGAGTTTGATGTTTTAATCTAAATGATGAAGTTGTAGTAAAGCTTATTATTTGAGGCATGTATAGACTTCTTTGTGAAGCTTTAGTTTAGTTGGTTTGCTGTCATATTGAGATTTGCCTTATAGCATCTTTCATTTACACGAAGTCGCTGTGTACAAAAATAAAAAAATGATAAGTGCTATTAGATGTTGCCAAATTCTATTTAATCTGCATTTAAATTGGATGAAGACATCTTAAATCAGTCATCATCTTGTGAATCATCAACGTAACGTTCATCGATATCATTCACGTCACGCTCGTCGATATCATTCATGAAACGCTCGTCGATATCATTCGTAACATCATCATTCATATTGACATTTCGTTCATCTATATGTCCGTCTTCAAGGTTCCCAATCTCGATGTCTTCATCTGAAATATAATTTGAAACGATTTAAAAAACAATTATAAACACAAAACAACACAACACATAACATTAAGATAACACTGATACAAGGTCATTATTTCAAACTTAGAGATTATTTACAAGACATTGTTTTTTTTATTATTTCAGACATGATCCAGAGCAGTTACTATGAACAATGCAACATAAATAAAATAAGAAGATATGGTATGGTTGGCAATGCAAAAACACCAGAGATTAAAAGACATATAAGTTAACAATTATAGGTCATCATTATTGAGAAACATCCATACCGCAAAGCAATGTTTACTAAAAACGTTTACAAATAAAATTCCAGAAAAAAATTGAAAATAATAGTTATCTTTGCAAACCATACTTCTTTCGTGTATTTGATATGGGTTTGAATACCATTTGACGGTATCGAACATATCTTAATTACATATAATGCTTTATTTCGTAATGTTTCACATCTTAGTGGCTTGTACAACTACTTTAGCTTGTTGGAGGTGTTATATTAGATTGCAACACGACAAATCACCAGAGATTAAGACATGGGTAATACTATGTTTTGAAGTTGTCTTTCTGGTCGAAACGTAAGAAACAAAAGTCAGTATATCTTATATACTCCTCTCAACGATAGTTCAAATGCAATACATATTTAATTTTATCTGTCAAATTACCATAGAATGACAATAAAAATAATGGATAAATACCACCCAAATTGATGTTTACTGTTTAACCTTTAGACAATTGTCTAATTGTAATGTGATATTGATAAAAAGAAAATACATTATGCTATACATGTTTTCTGTGTGACCTTTAAAAGTAAGCATCTCGTGCAGATAAAACCAGGCTTAGCCCACCATGTCCTTCTGAAAATGCCTGTATCAAGTTAGGAAAATGGAATTAGTTGTGACTTGTTCCTTTGATTGATAGCGTTTTATTTCAGTTTAATTCTCTAGTGGTATTAATTCTTGTTTATATATGCGAGTTTTCTTCCTCTTGTGAACTTCAACGCAATCAAATATATCTGAATATTAAAACGTCTTTTTCAAGATACTGAAAATGATTTATTATATGGTAACGTCAATGCTAGGATTCTTTCTTTACAATCCCCTCTGATTACTAAGGGCTGAATACATAATTTATATTTACACTTTACTTATACAGTGATCCTAAATCGAGAAAGTTAAAAATATAATTGAAAAAACAAAGTATTTTAACAATTAAAAAAAAGTAATAATTCCAAGACCCTAACAATGCAAGTGATGCAGCATTTAAAATTACGAACCTTGAATGTCATTATCGAACGTGGCTCGTTTTCGTCCTGCATATATTGTTGGATGTCTTGGCCATCTTGGATATCTTGGATATCTTGGATATCGCGGTAATCTCGGTATCCGTGGCAACCTTGGCCAACTATATCCGTTACATTCATCAATTATACAAAGTGATGATACAATAGCCAATAGCAGCAGGACGTTTCTCTTCATTTTCAAACTGGAAGACAATAAACATAATAGTGTTGGTACCACAAACTATTGTATTGTTATGTTTATAAGAACGAATTAATTATTGGACGACTACAAAAAAACAAACATTGATGAACAACGTGGCCTTCTGAGAAACAGTCATCACTAAAATCACGTTAACAAAGATTCAAATATCATTCCAAATCACGCCAGAAAGTTGTTTTAACTAATTAATATTGATCATGTCAGCTTTGTATTGTTAAATAAAAAAAAATAGAATAAAAAGTAAAACTAACCTTTTTGTCGTGAAAAATCTTAAATGTTAACCAGCTTGAAATGTTCAAATCGCACTTAACTAAATTAGAGAACTGTTGATCATATATTTATAGTACCATGGTAACATATGTAAGCATAAACAGTATCCTATGTGATGTATCATCATTTTTCCAAGAAAAAACACCTTTCTGACTAATTCATTATAATTCATATGAAAAGCATTAATTTAAATGTATAGCTTAAGCATCTAGAAAGAGAAAGACACTGCAGTAGTTATATAAGTGAGGGCAATGGAATTATGCGTATATGGTAAAATGTACAATATCTATCGATTTTTAATCTCATTGAATAAAAAGCAGTTCCGATCTTCCATGTCAAATTACTAATTTGTGAGTTAAACACCATGAATAGATTATCTCAGATGTATTTGGTGAAACCTTTTGGAAATGTTATCCTCAAAGCTCTCAACTCAGTTTTAAATTTGGTCTTTTAACTGATTTGAATCGAAGCCACTGTTGAATTTTGTGTCCCGCCCGTCTTGCATTGAAAATTATAAATCTTTGAAGTGTTTTTTTAGGCCATAAACATCAGCCAGGTTCTAGAGCGCTTATTTTTATCTACGTATACGTTATAATAAATAGTATTGTTTACAGATAATCGTGTATAATTTGAATACCTCACATATTATAAAATCAACAATATTAGAATGTACCTGATGATATTATAAAAAAAACAACAACAACATACAATTAGTCTCTACATCAAAATGAAAAGTATCCCGCAAAATACACTCCGTCCTAGTCCAGTGGCATATATTTCATGCATGTTCTGGCCGAAAATGAACTAACAAAAAATGCAATAGGTTTGTCCTATATTAGGGGTCGACTCGGATAAAGGACGGGAAATTCGGTTCGGCATCATTTTCCCTAGAAACAATTCGTTTCTGGTTAATACATTATTATTTAGACTAAATACCTCAATTTATATATATAACTTATGCATTTAGAGAAAAAAAACATAGTAATAGTTGTAAAAATAAGGGTTTTGAATCATGGCGAGAGAACTATGCTAAAATGGTCATATGGACAAAATATTTCGATTTTCAATCTTATTGTATTGAAAGTCCTTCCACAGTTCCATGTCAAGTTTAATAACTTGTGGGTTATTCCCCCAAAATAGATTATCTCAGACGTATTTGGCAAAATATTTCGGAATTTTGGATTATCAATTACCTCAAACTTCGAAATTTATTTGGCATTTTAAAATGTTTGATTCATGTATCACTTGTGAATACTTTGAAGAAGAAACATGATTATAGGATACACAGTTATAAGCTTGGTCTCTTTGATCAATATGTTTTTATACTACATGTACTTTACACATCCTTTCTACAAACATCTTTTTTTGTCAATTTAGAAATGATTTTGTATGAATCGTAATTAAACTTAATAATGCTTATTGATAACAGCTGTGTGAGATTCCATTACCTCACATACTAAAAAAAACCAAAATGTACCTGATGTTATTGTTTTGATCAATAATAAAAACAAAATGCCATTATGATAATAAATGTATATACAAATATATATAAAACGAAATCCAATTTAAATCTCTACATTTAGATCAAAAGTATCTTGTAAAATACACCGTCCTATGTTAATATGTTATAGATAATACATATTTTTAGGTTTTTCTTGTCGTAGAACACACCGAGGGGTGTCAGGATTGATTAAATGAAAGACCGACCGTAGGGAGGTCTTTCTTTGGGCAATCCTGACACCCCGAGGTGTGTTCTACGACAAGAAAAACCTTAAAATATGCATTATCTGACTTATATACCGTCAAAAAAATATTGTTTTTTATAAAGATTTGCCAAATTTTGCATCCTATTTTACCGACCACACTAAAGTGGGATATTCTTTTCTAATGCGTTCAGGTTTTAATACGCCCTACGGCTCATTAAGAATGTGAAATAAAACTCACTAATTAATCTAGATATAAACCTTAGAAATTATTATCCATACACAATAAAAATAATACTGTAACTGCATGAAGTAAGACACAAATGAACTGTTACCATCTGATAACGGTGTATGAAAAATACAAGACACTTTGTAAGTAATTTATTGTACCAACTTAGTTTATGGAAAGGTGGACGTGCTATGTTTTTTTTGTCTATTTGTAATGACATTTTATCGCGGAAAAGTGATTATTTTTCATCAATTTTAATTGAATCGAATGAAATATTCAGAATGATTTTCTTTTGAATAGCAATACATTTTTTTAACAGATAATCAGGATATAATTATATACCATCCCCCACCCGACCTCATTGTGAGGTACGTGAATGTTATTCAATAGAATATAAGAACATTTTATTAGTTAATCATTTGATAGAGTAAAAGGTATACATAAATGTAAAACAGTTAAGAACTGACACGAAGGGGGCACGAAATCGTGATACATGTACATGTTACACGAAAACGAATATCAATACATGTAGGTCACAGTATGATTTCCTATTCAGTGTGTATCGTCCTGAACATGCATGAAATATTTGCCACTAGACGTTAAGTAACCATCAATCAATCAACCTATTCAGTGTGAATCAATAAGATTTTAAAAATCTTACACACGAATATGTTAAATCTGGCTTTATTTTAAAGTGTTATGAAAGTTTTACATTAAAATTCATCTCGCATATATGATAATGTCACTGTATTGTAGAGATAAATTAACAAAACTTCTCATTATTTGTTTCTAAAATTAAAATTCGGGCAATGACGATTTATTTTACATCTGTCATAGATTGAACTTTAAAAAATAAATTCCCAAATTGGCAACAGAAACTATCAGACGAATATAATTTTGAAGTAAATTATAGTTTGCATTTTTATCAAGGAAAATAATGACCTCACACAGGTCATTATTTTATGCCTTGGAGCATATTTCATTGAAACATGGTATCGTCCGGGTTGATTCTTCGAAAGAATGACCTATCGTTCTGAAAGAAAATAACTCCATATAGGTATATAAGTTTGGTTTACCTAAGGTCAAGAGGCATATATTAAACATACGAAAACAAATAATTGACAGCGTATCTATACATCTCGAACAGTAAAACCAGGCGCGCCACTTTGACAAGAATTGTATTTCCGGTCGTTAGAAGACGAAAAGTTACCATGCTATTCCAAAATAACCCTTGTTGTCTCTCTTTGTCCTTGAAAATAGAAGCTGTAGTTAAATGTGATTTATCGAATTGCGAATTGTTTGTATGTACAATGATTTTTATTTTCTTTTGTATATGCAAACCTATACCCAAAGATAGAAACTGAAAAGGAAGATACATATATTAATAACTATTTACGTTTATTGCTTAATTTTTGACGACATGTTTTTTTTTTATTTATATTTTGAAAAAAGATCAATTCAACAATTTAAACAATGTATCGTGTAATTTACACGCTGTTTTGTATCAAATAACAATTTATACCTTTTTAAGCCTAACCTTCAAACCGACGACAAGCAGTTTATTGATTCTTAAATTCACTTACACAGATCTTATATCACAAAAATGACTTCAGGTGTATTACAATGACATTTTTGTACGCAAACAAAACATTTAAATTCACATTCCTGAAGATAAATCTGGACCCATCATCATAACTTTAATTATCCTTTCACAAAATTATTATAACAGTTTAGAACGATGTGTGTTTACTATCCTCAGGGATATCTTAGACATCCACGAGTACCTTTCACATGTCTGCAAAAAGGACGACAGTGATCACACACACACGGATATTGCAAATTATATGTCGAAACAGTTGAATAAACTCAATAATTGGATTACAACCAAAGGATTAATTGATTACTTCATATCATCAATGATATTAAAGAGAATATCACTTTTATTTATAGAAGAACATTTATCAAATTTCGAAAAGAAACATGTTTAACTAAACCGCAATTTAATAAATGCATCCTTAATAAATTGAGAAACATAATATTTCAAAATTCTGATAATTATTCTTTAATGGTTACGCTAATATAGAATATTGATGACTGTAAACTGAGACTACTATAGAAGTACTATCGGGGGTATACAGCTGTACGTGTAAAGATTAGAATGGCGAAAAACCCCGATAGCTTTCGAACTTATTTACACTATGATTTTGCGCCATTAGTCTGCTGTGTCCGGATTGAAAGTGTCCGATTGCAGTAACGTAAGTATATATTTTGAAAACATTTTGACAGTTTCGATTGATAATTATATACACTCCTCACTTTACAAGATTTTTTGTTTGATTGTGAACCTTGAATGATCATAAACTGTTGATATTGACGACTTTCATAAAAAGGGGGGTGTGGGTTGCTGTTCATTGAAATTCCCGTTCTTCGACATTTACATTTAAAACAAAATAATCTAAAACTAGCAGCTGATCATGGTATAAAATTTAGCCGAAGCATAAAAATAATCATGGACAGCAGTGGCGGATCCAGCCATATCAAAGAGGGGTCAAAACCTAGGATAAAAAAGGGGGGGGGGGGGGCAACCATATGCCCCAATTCAAAAGTATTATATTGATCGTCAAAAAAGGGGTTCCGACCCCTGGGAACCTTCCTGGATCTACATATGAGCAGGTCAGCGGGGTAACAATATTGACAAACATGACAAGTGAGCTGCCTGTTGGACCTACTGTAGACTAATATATATATATGTCATACACCTTATCGCTGTTTAGTCCAATACGGAAAAAAAACCAATCATTTAGACAACTTCCTGTTTGGGTCAACAGTGAAGCAAAACAAAGGTCATCAGTAACGAGCTGAGGTAGGAAAAAGTTTAGAAAGCGATCACAAGGAAACTTTGATAGATTATGATCCACTTTTTCGAAACTCAAATTAAAGTCAAAAAACTGTTTTGTTTGAAGTATTTACGATGGTTTAAACAGGTCTCATTAAAAAGTATCATGCATGGTGCATTGTTTAAACAGGGTCCCTGATAGATTCAACTGGATGAAGAAGTTGTATAATTTTAGAACTTACCCGGAATGGAATAAATAGCGATTAGGTGTATCGTCTTAAATCGGATGGATATAATTTAACATTGTTTTG